ATGCTCTGCTTCCACCCAGCTGGAAGGGAGATGCTGCAGGAAAATGGCAAGTCAGGTAAGGCACCTGTGCAGGCGTGTGGATTATGGTAAAGTGTGTTCTCCGCCATCAAGTGACCCCTAAGAGGGCTTTCAGGGTAAGGGGGATACTTGAAGGAGTGGTTTTACCAGTCCCGTTTTCCCAAGTGAGTTTCCATGGCTGAGCGGGGATTCGAACCCTGTTCTCCGTAGTCCATCACTTTATCTATGACACCACTCTGGGAACACACCTGTGCAGGCATCTCCAAGAAAAGGCAGAGGGAATCTTAACTTATTTGCAGTTAAAATGGTCTGAAGAGGCCTTGAAACCCTGAACATCTCTTGGGGTTTCCAGAAGTCTTCCTAGCTAGATTCAGCCGCCTCTCTGTGTGTCACAGCACCTAACTGCCAGTTTGTTTTGTTTAGGAGTAGCTGTCCTTCGGGGCGAATCGTGGCCCTCAAATGTTCTGGTAAGTACTTGGGTCTCATCCAGACTTTGGCCACATTGGCCCCAGGAGTTGCCCTAACAGAGTAGCACATTCCTCAGCTCAGTGAGGTACCCCTGACATTCTTCCTTGCTTCCAGACACAGGCTTTCAACACGCCAAATGCTGCACGCAGAATAAAAGACGGGTAAACCTATTGGGATTTCTTTTGCATTCACAGATGCTCTCTATCTCCACCCTGTCTGTTGCTGTATTTGGACAGTGCCTTGTGTGAGGGTGGGGGGTGGGGATGGGCAGAGGTGGCAGTTGTGGAAACAGGGAACCCATGCCACCAGACAATCCCTCTTTGGTGCTGGAGAAGACTCTTGAGACTGCAAGAACAAACCTATCCATTCTGAAGGAAATCAACCCTGAGTGTTCACTGGAAGGACAGATCCTGGAGCTGAGGCTCCAATACTTTGGCCCTCTCATGAGAAGAGAAGATTTCCTTTAAAAGACCTTGATGTTGGGAAAGTGTGAAGGCTGGAGGAGAAGGGGACGACAGAGGACGAGATGGTTGGACAGTGTCATCGAAGCGACCAACATGAATTTGACCCAACTCCAGGAGGCAGTGGAAGACAGGAGGGCCTGGCGTGCTCTGGTCCATGGAGCCATGAGGAGTCGGACACGACTTAACAACAACATGTCTTGCACAATGGTTGTTTTGAAGGAGCGCCTGGAAAGTCTCCCTAGGATCTGGTGCAACGTGGAGAAGATGTTGGGAAGGCCTTGGTGGCCAGCCTTCTCTCCAGCAAAGTCTGTTTCCTTCCCTTGGCGGGCTGAAACCTCCTTCTCCTTCTCTCTCTCCCCTGTACAGAGTGTGGCGCTGCTTACTCAAAAGCAGCCGAGACAACGGGAGGAAAGGAGACTCGCCTGAGGCGATGGCCTTGGCAAGTCACCCTCTATCTCAACGCCCAGCCTGTGTGCGCGGGCACCTTGGTGTCACACGAATGGATTGTCACAACTGCTCATTGCGTGGATTGGTAAGTTGAGAGACATCTGAGCCAGAGCGGCAGAAACGGGGAGGCTGCCCCACGCCAAGAGCTGGCCTAAGCCAAATGATGCTGTTTTTGTTTTTCCAATATTTTAGTGATAGCAAAGAAAATGATGATATTCTTTGCCAGGAAGTGTCTCTGCCACGCCTGGTCTTAGTCGTCCCACTATTCCTCTCAGTGGGCAGTTCTTCCTGCTGATGATGCCGGAGTCTGGATGAGTTACCGTTGACCAGCCCAAGTTCCACCGGCCTAAAGCTATGTCAGAGAAAGAACTGAATTCTATACCACCAGGCAAAGCAAGATGGAAAAGCTTTGAGGTGTGTCTTGTTTATTTATTTATTTACTCCATTTCAGCCAGCTTCAGCTGTCTGGATGGGTGGCCTTGGTTGAACCAAAAGACGACGAAGGACAACGGAGAGTTGCCGTGGAAAAGGTGGTGCCCCATCCCAACTATGACAGAGAGCACCACGACTACGACATCGCCATGTTGAAACTCAAAGAGCCGTTGGCTTTCTCTGGTGAGTGGTCTTGGTCCGCTTGGCGAAAGCCCCTGGTGCAGAAGGAGTCGAGAGGGGCTGGATGTTGCAGCCAGCCAGGAAGATGTACCCGTGCAAAGGGGACGGTCAGAGGAAAATCTAGGAGATCCGTCGGGTGGGCTACAGAACCTGACTAGGACAGAATCACAAATTGAGGAGGAGATCCAGATAGACCTGGGAAGAGATCCTGGCCCAAATGAGTCTGGAGAAGGGAGGGAACTGAGCGGACTTCCTATCTAGATTCTAGGAAGCAGACCCTACTTATGACGATTGCATTTGCCTCAAGCACGGTTCCTTACCCAGCCCAGACAGTCCCATCCACACCCATGGGGAAGGAAGGGAGGAGGCAGAAGGATTTCCTAATCAACGTAAGTGGTTTTTTTAAAAAAACAACAGGGAGTTGGAAAGACATGGAAGTTTGAATTGCACGGCTAGGCATCTCAGATCACAGAGGGCGGCACTAAATCTCAGATGGAAAAATGGGGATCTGCAGACCAGAGGATGATCACATAAGCTTTGGTGAACGTCCCTTTGCCAAGGGTGGGACATTTAGGTTCTTTTGGTGCTTTTGAAGAGATGCAAAGTGACCAGAGTCCTTGCATTTCTCTCTTGTGTTTTATGTCTTTGCAACCCATTCGAATAAATATCCTTCCCATTTCTGGAACTGGGCTGTAATGGCATGCCAACGTCACTTGTAACAGAGCAAGCAGGATGGTTGCCTTAGGACCCACAGGATCTTGCTACCACTGCTCAGTTGTCGATGGCTTCAACAGACCAGTATCTAACCTTTCTACTTAGAAGTAATTTTTCCCAAGCTCCAGAAGAAGCTACTGCCTCCTGGAAAGATCCGTTTTGCACACTTAGCGATGACGTTTCCCCAGATCTGGGCCGGGTGTTTCTCTCCCAGGACGCCCAGCCCTGTCTGGAGACACCAGGGACGGAAGCCTGGATCTTGGCAACTGTCTAGCGCGCATAACGATGAGACCTCTTCCCTCTCCCTCTTCGACAGAGACTGTCCAGGCTGTATGTCTGCCCCTCTCCCACCAGGACCTTCCCAACAGCAGCACCTGTTGGATCTCAGGTCAGGACTACCAACGACCGGAAAACGGTGAGCCAATCTTCAGACCATAGTGGGAAGGGGCCTGTAGCTGGAGACGCTTGCTTGCTGGATTTGAGATTCTGATGTATGTATGGAGGTTGGAACCATGACTTTTTGAGAACGGTTAGATAGCTCAGTGGTTTAAGGCAACTGGCTGTGGAGTCAAAGGTTGCCAGTTCAATTCCCGTGTGGCTCCTTGACAGGGGCTGGACTGGATGACCCATAGGGTCCCTTTAGGTCAGTAGCAATCTCTTAATAATACCCAGGCCAGAACTGACTTCAGGCTTACCAGGTAACAAATACAGTATCAGACGGCTCTCCTCGGTTAAACTGAGGCGTGACATTTGCCTGTTTAGTTCTTAAGGGGGAAAAAGGGGGTTCCAAAGGTTTCCCCAGTGGACAAGATCGGTGAGCTTTTTGCATTCCATTTTTATTTTTGCAAAAAAAGGGGGGGAATTATTATTATTTGTTTTAATACACAATAGGGTGTTTTATTTTGCAGAAATCCACATTTTTAAATTAAAAATGTCAATGAGAGGAGAAAAGTGTTGGGTCTTAGGCAGGAGTGAAAAACCACACAGCAGTTGCCTCTTCTTTGAGAATGACCACATCCGTGACGATTCATGACATCTTCACCGTTTCGGATGGCCCGCACGGCTCCTTTTTGGGAAAACCCTATTGCTATCACACACTGCATCAAGCTTGAAGGATGCTTGTTTTCCCCTTGCTTGTTTCCCAGCCACCAGCTCCTCAGCTGAGACACCCACGGCCGTGTCAGTGAGCCTTATCACCAGCAAGAACTGCAACACCTCCTGCATGCACGCAGGCAAGATAACGCCACGGATGCTCTGCGCCCACTATGTGGACAGAAACACTTCCACTTGCAAGGTAGTAACTGGCCGGGGGGGGGGGGGGCAGAACTAAGGTTGCAGGGCAACAATTATGAAGACAGATTTCAGGGGGTCTGACAACTTTTCTGCCCAAACCTTTGTTTGGATGACCTCATATGTCAACACAAGCATAGTTTGGACACAAATATTTCCAAAGCAGCTGTATACAGTATATTGAAATGCATAATGCTATTCAAATACGTACTCGGCAGTTCTTTCACAAGCTGTAAATAGATAGGGAACCCGTTTCTGTTGTTCCCCAAGTGCAGGAATGCTATCATTCTGTTTCTTTCTTAGCTTCGTTTCCAGCCAGTATCTTTCCCCCTTTTTCTCCCCCTATAACCTGACCACCTTCTTGGTGCAATAGACAAGATAGAGCAGCCCAACTGGATAGCCCACTGCTTCCTGAGTCATTCTGACCCCATGGCTGGAAAACTCTTGACCATCAAAAAGTTTCTCCTGAACTTAGCTCAGATCTTCCCTCCCCATTTCCAGGGAAGGAGAAACCCTTCTCATAACCGGAACAAGCTTGACACAAACCGAGCTGTGCTCTGTGAGAGAAAGACCCAGGCCCCAGCGCTGCTCCTTGGGCGAGATCAGGATGGCAACTCACGCTTCCATCTTCTTGTCCTCGCAGGCCGAGAGGGGGGTCCCACTGGTTTGCCAGCAAGCAGACGTGCCGCGCCTGGTGGGGATCGGAAGCCGGGAAAAGGGCTTGAAATCACCAAGACTTCCTGGGGTTTATACCAAAGTGGTGGAATTCCTGGACTGGATCCATCACATTATGGAAGAGAAGGGGTAGCAACAACCGACAAGCAAACAGGCCTGGCACAGAGACCCCCCACCCCTTTCCTTCTTGAGAAATAACTAGAGACAATTCACAACCATGATGGAGGTGGTCTGCAGCCAGGAGCCCCTTTTCGGCAAAATGTGTTCGAGTGTGGGGTTCAGCCCAACTTCACACAACCCTGTGCCTTCCTCTGATGGTTAAGGTAGAGTTTATTAGTACACCAGTTCAGCGGCAGGGCTGCCTCGCTGGAAGGAAGGAAAGAGAGGTTGGAAAGCAGTTCAAGGGCTCCACCTGGCTGCCGATGAAGGGGCAGGCTAGACAAAAGCCAACTTGGTCCGATGCTTGGCAGCAATGAAGTGGTGTACCCTGGAGAAAGCCTTCCTGATTTTACACACATCGTGGCAATGTTTGTACTGTCACCGACTGACCAGGAACGGGATCCTGAGGTCATGGGCTGGGCACAAACCGGAAACCTGGGGGTTTGTGGTGACCCAGAGCTGCCTGCCGCCTGCCCCCCCAGCTGATAGGCAAGGCTGGCTTCCTTGGCTGGAGCCGGCCGCTGCCTTCCATGCCCTCAGCTGGGCGACCTCCCAGCTGGGCAACGGGCCCCGTGCACAAAGGCCAGTCGGTTTTTCCAGTTGGCACCTGAGTTCGTGCCCATCATGGGCCAACGAATCCAAGAAAGTTAAAATGCTGCTGCTGTGAAAAGGGTGAATCCCACAGAAGGGATGGGTCACGGGGAAAAGAAATAAAGCTAAAAGCCATCAGCACTGAAGCCTAATCACCCCTTAAATTTTGGGAACTGCACTGGCCAAACCATATCAAATATATATATATATATACTGGTAGAGCTGCGAAATATACAGTTAAATAAAATGGCAGCAAAAATGAAGAGATTGGACACGGATGCAAGATTCGATGTGCTTTAGAAAAGAACCCGGCTGATTAACTGCTGATAGGGTAAGAGTTCTACAAAGTTATGCAGGCTATGGAGAAAACCGCAGACATTTTCCTTTCTCTCTCTGAAAAGATAAAAACCAAGGGTTATAAAGTGGAGCTGAAACAGGGAGATTCAGAGCTGCCACAAAGATAATGACACTTCATTATCTTCAAACTTAACCCTGGAATTCTTTGCCAAAACAGGCTTCTGCAAATGTCACAGAGGGAAAGTTCTGTTTCTTTCATGACCAGGACTGAACCTGAATGAGCAAACAAGGAAGTGATTTTCCTGTACCATGTGAGTAAAAATGAGGCGTGTGATGTTTTGCCCCACCTCCCCGGGCCAGAAACTGACTAACAAGGCTGCCTTTAAAGGGCAGGCAGAGAGAAGAAAAGCAGCCGCTGTCAGCTGTCACTTTTTCTTGCAAATGAAAATGTGCCACTCAGGCTAATTTAGAGATAAATATTTAATAATCCCCCACTTAGCCAAATCTGAAAGAGGGGAAAAACAGCATGAGGGAGTAACGCCAGTTAGCCTGTTGCAAATAATATAATACAAAATAATTTTGAAGAAATTAGTCATTCCACATTTCTCCTGCTCTGTCTTTAGGCTGCACCCTTTCAACCCAGTTTCTCTTTCAAAAGCTAGTGACTGATTTTAGTTCCTGCAAACTGAGGTGCATTTTTAAAAAAAATACTAAAAGAGATATCATCACATGAAAAAAGGGGATGATGAATCCATGGGTGCACGTGTGCTGAGGCAGAGGTTTTCCACTCAACCAAGGTCCATCTCCAGTCACATACCTGAGAACTGAGGTGTGGGGGGCGAGGGCGTCTACCCAACTGGATAGAGGAGGGTTGAGAAAGCCGAGGGGCCACCAGTCTTTGAAGTTTCCGCAGCCATTATGACCAAGAAGGGATACTTGCGTCAAGGAAAGCATGGCGAGACGGACGAGAAGCCTCTTGTGACGTCCTCCGTGCATAGCTTTTAAATACAGAGAGCAGGAGGAGGAAAGGCTTCCGCTCGGCCCTCCACGGCAGCAATGCCCTCTGCCCCCAGAAGCAGCCCCACCCCTCCCCTTATCCAAGCACAGTCTGCGGTGGTGGGGGATGTCAGGAGAGGCTTCGGAAAAGACCCAGCCTCCTCCTCTGGCTGCTGAACCACATCCACTAAAAGCGGCAGCCAGCCCGTTTTGGCACTTTTTAAGAGCCCTGAAAGGCTGCAGAGAGAGAAAGAGAAAGAGAGAGAAAGATCTTCCAGTCTTGTGTGCTTCAGATGCGTCACGCAAAGAAGAGAGGAGGGCAAAGAGGCACAAAGGATGCCTCTTGTAAATAATAAAAAAAAGGAAATAAAGCTGCATAGATGTTGTTCTACCAGGGCCCATGAGCCGCGCCACCGACCCCACCATCCTCACGTCCCTGTCAGAGGTAGATCCAGGAGTTCCACCAGACCCAGATGGGTCTCACCAAGCCCCCGAAGCAGAAATAAGGGAGAGCGCCCAGACCTGTGCAGCGATCCATGGAGTCAACAAATCTGGGCAGTGTCTGGCCATGATCTTTGGACACCCCAGGCCACCCCCGTCACGGCGCTGGCTTCCTCAGTGGATTGGGTAAACACCCTCTGAACAGGCGGCAGGCCTGGCTGCCAGAAACTTCTGTAGACAAAGGCCAGGAAGTGTTTCAGAGGGGAAAATCATCGAGCTAGACAAGCAAAGGACCGCAGGCCGTGCCACCTGCAGCGTACACCCCTGGAAGACATTTTAAGAACCAGAAGCTATTTGATTTTCGCCAGGGCAGCGGCCCTCCGCTCCGTGTTCTGGAACAAAGCTCGGATCAGGCTCTTCACCTCGCCGGGGGAGAACTCGGCTGCGAGGGGCCCTTTGCCATCAGCCCACCTTGGAAACAGAAAGGAGGGGAAGGGGAGAAGACAACAGCAAGCGCTGTTACTTAATAAACCAAGAGAAAGGAAAGGGGAGGAAAATGTGTAAGGTCTTAGGGAGTCTTCAGAACCCTTTGCCTGTGACGGTCTGGGGGATACTGGGTTGCCGCCTGAAACCCCTCCTTTCATGGAGCCTTTTCTTTTTTAAAAATAAACACCAACATTCTTTGAAAAACCCGGATCTCTGAAGGGTAAATGATATATGACAAGCAAAGACTATGGACCCTTCTAGCAGTGCGATCGAACAGGACCGGAAGAGAGTGGAGAATGGACCTACAAGCCGACTTGTACTATGCCTCACTCTACAGCAGGAGGGGCAGCCAATTTTGAAAGGGTGGTGGTGGTGTTTTCCACCACCCGGCAGGGCCCCCTCTGGCCCCCAATGACCCCTTGCAAAAGCTAAATACAATAAAGTAACAATAAATTAGAAATAAAAGCAGGAACTCCTTGCTTTCTTGGGGTGGTTTCATTTCGAGGGATGGAGGTAGGTGGGAAGCCCCGCGCTCCCTTTTGCAGCAAGAATGCCCCTTCTTGGCGACTTCCAAGAGCACGAAGTCACATAGTCCCCCCCCCACACTACTGTTTTCCATTGGGGGAGGACCTAGCTAGGGGGTCTGGAAAGCAGAAGCCACAGGGTTCTCCCGGACCCCTCCCTCCTCACCCAGGCCTGCCCGGGAGAGGTCAAACGCAGCACTCACCGGTCCACTATTTCCTGCAGACTGGCCTGCAGGACCAGCATGAGCTCCCGGAACATCATCCATTGGGGCACGTAGACGGGGACCTCCTCTTGGAAGGGCTTGTTCTGCTGTTCTTTGGGCAGGGGCACAAAGACCCGGGGCCCCTCCTCCACCACGACCTGGCACAGGGCATGCAGCCGGTCTCCATTCTCGGCAGAGATATCCTGCAAGGTGATGGGAGAGCCATCAGGCAGGCCTTCTCCAAAAGCTGAGCGGCGGCCATTTGCACATCCTCCCATCTCTGGCAGGTGGAGCAGAGAGAGAGAGAGAGAGAGAAAACTCCCCCCACACACACACACCCTGCTATGGAAACAGGCAAGGCTTTTCTCATCCGCCTGTCCACAAACGGAGAGGGAAAGTGGTTTCCACGACCAGACTTGAGGCATTTTCACAAGAGACACAAACCACAAAGTGCCTCCAACTCAGAGACCAGGTCTTCCACCATCTTCATTTCTCCCAAACCTTATACAGGAAACGTGACTGTCTCAGCAAAGCTGCCGTGTTTCTCTTACACCAACACCCACCCGTACGTGCCCTTCAGCAGGATTAGGCTTTTTCCAGGAAGCTGGAGTTGCATATTTCATGGGACGTTCTTGTTTGGCCTCGAGGCCAGCATTTAACACTGGGTTGGGCTTTAAGAAAACCATCTATTTCTCATACTAGCCTCAAACGGGCCTGCTCAAATGCAGGCACCTTGACTCCCAAAGCATGCACTCTTCCATGGATGGATGCTCCAACGTAACTTTTTTTAAAGCACCGCCTTATCAACAGGAAGGAGAAAGGCAAACAGCCAACGAGCAGATGATGTAAAGACGCCATGTTCATCAGTTCAGCAACACCCAGATAATAACATTCTTTAATAATCATAATTATGTGCTGTCAATTCTGACTGACGGCGAGCCTTTTTCGGGGTCCCCCAGGTAGAGAAAACAGTCAGAAGCGGTTGATCCTTCCCTTCCACTAGGAGGCGCCCCGGGACTGTGCAGCTGGCCCAAGCGGTGGGAGAGCCATCAGGCAGACAGACACCTAAAGCACTGAACTAGCCAGCATGCAATAAAAACCCGGTATTAATTAATTCAAGTAGGATTAAATCCTACACCCACAAAGTGGTTCTGGCAAACTCCATGGCCTTAGTTAACCACGGAACAGGAAGCTATGCAAGCGCTGTCCAGAACCACTGGGCCGCGTAAGGTTCCCAGACTGTCCAGCTGATTTGGAATAAATGCAACGGGAAATAGGGGCATGTAGCCAGCATTCTTCATATCACTTTAGCAGAAGGGAAACTGGAGCCTGTGTTGTAACAGAACAGAATCAGATGCTCTCCTCCCCCCATCAATAGTTAAGTGGGCTCTGCACCTTGCTAAAAGCTGGGGCAGCTCCACAGAAAAGCAGGCGGCTTGTGTTAAAGGCAGCGCAACCTATGGGGCGGGGAAGGCACCTTGGCACTGAGCAGCCACTCACGGCCCACACAGCCCTCACCTCCAAGGCGGCGATTCTGCTGATCATCTCGGCGAGAGCCGTATTCAGCAAGGTCCCCATGGCCTTGCAGTAGACGTTCACGGGAAGGACATCCTGCCATACCAATCCAAGCCTCTTGAGCTGGTGCAGGACCTGGAAAGGAACACAGACAAGAGGCAAGAAGGTCCAAACGGGCAGCCCAAGAAGGCTGGTAACACAGCGTCAACTGCAAAAGGGCACAGCAAGACTTCAGAAAAAGTAGACAGAAAAGGAAGACAGAAACACGCCTGAATTCCCCCCTCCCAAAGGGTTGTCTTCCTCAGTTCTCATGCAGACAGCTTTAAAAGGGGAAGAGAGATATGTTTGAGGCCAGGAGCCACTGCCTACGGCCCAGGGGTTCTTGCACTACAACTCGTCCCACAGGAGACATAGCAGTGGGGAATCAAAATCCCAACCTCTGGCTTTGCAGACAGACACCTAAAGCATTGAGCTAGCCAGCCTGCAATAAAAACCCGGTATTAATTAATTCAAGTAGGATTAAATCCTACACCCACAAAGTGGTTCTGCCAAACTCCATGGCCTTAGTTAACCACGGAACAGGAAGCTATGCAAGCGCTGTCCAGAACCACTGGGCCGCGTAAGGTTCCCAGACTGTCCAGCTGATTTGGAATAAATGCAACGGGAAATAGGGGCATGTAGCCAGCATTCTTCATATCACTTTAGCAGAAGGGAAACTGGAGCCTGTGTTGTAACAGAACAGAATCAGATGCTCTCCTCCCCCCATCAATAGTTAAGTGGGCTCTGCACCTTGCTAAAAGCTGGGGCAGCTCCACAGAAAAGCAGGCGGCTTGTGTTAAAGGCAGCGCAACCTATGGGGCGGGGAAGGCACCTTGGCACTGAGCAGCCACTCACGGCCCACACAGCCCTCACCTCCAAGGCGGCGATTCTGCTGATCATCTCGGCGAGAGCCGTATTCAGCAAGGTCCCCATGGCCTTGCAGTAGACGTTCACGGGAAGGACATCCTGCCATACCAATCCAAGCCTCTTGAGCTGGTGCAGGACCTGGAAAGGAACACAGACAAGAGGCAAGAAGGTCCAAACGGGCAGCCCAAGAAGGCTGGTAACACAGCGTCAACTGCAAAAGGGCACAGCAAGACTTCAGAAAAGGTAGACAGAAAAGGCAGACAGAAACACGCCTGAATTCCCCCCTCCCAAAGGGTTGTCTTCCTCAGTTCTCATGCAGACAGCTTTAAAAGGGGAAGAGAGATATGTTTGAGGCCAGGAGCCACTGCCTACGGCCCAGGGGTTCTTGCACTACAACTCCCAGAAACCCCGGCCAGCACAGCTGGTGGCGAAGGCTTCTGGGAACTGCAGTCTGAAAACATCTGGGCACCCAAAGTTGGGAACCACCGTTCGATGGCTACCAGACATGATTTGGAAGGGAAACGCTGCTTCAGAAGCGACCAACCCCAGAACGCCAGTTGTGGGGAGGCTACTGCCTTCACATCTGCCTAGGGGCTCCCAGAGACATGGGACGGGCTGCTGGAGCAGATATGAGGTCCACCAAACCCCTCCTTCTCTGCTAATCCAGCTCAGCCCTTTCTTGGTGCAGGCTTAGAGGTGCCCTCTTTGGAGTCACACAGGACGCAAAGGCTACCAGGGACCCGTTCCACAGAGTCTAGTGAGGACCGACTCCCTCAGCTCCCATCCGCTCACCTGCCGTACAGCTTTGTTGGCTGCGCTGTAGTTGTCGTCGTCGTCCACGTTGGAGAAATTCCGGGCATTTGAAAGTCGCTCCAGGAGCTCTTCCTTCTGGACACGCATCTGGGCCAGGAAACACTCCATCCCTGAGGAAAAGGTAGAAGCGTGGGAATGCTGCGTGCGAAACTCTTTAATTTTGGAGCTCCAGGAGCTGGCTCACCACACTTCTGAAATTCTGACCTGCCACCAAAAATCTATAAAACCCACACAAAGAGGATACGAAGAAAAGTGGAGTAGCTGCTGCTCCCTTCTCACACCCCTGGAGAGAACTGCATGGAACACAAGACTTTTGCAATCCTACCACCAATGAATCTAAGTTTCTGCTCTCTCTACCCGCACATCTGGATCTCAGGGGAAATGGCATCTGGCTGGGCATTTTAATGGTAAGCAGCTCTAGAAGACCATCTAGGCTGACAAGAAGAATGTATGCTAAAACAGAACACGTAGAAGACATGAGTCTCAGCTGGACTCACCGAGTTTCCTGAAACCAGGCACCAGATCAACGAAAGTGGCCGTCCCGTCACATACACGGCCGCGAAACTGATGGCCCAGGGTCAGGAGGTGATGCGCAATGTACATGCAGTTGTTGTGGTGGATGGCTGCCAGCTGGGGAAGTTTCTGAAGGTTCTCTCTAGGCCAGAGAGAGAGAGATTGAGAGAGAGAAGGCAAGATAACAGCAAATGCTCTCAAGGATGAACATCAATATAGAAAGTCAAAACCACCAGACTCACAAAGCAAGAATTGGAGAGTTACAAAACCCCTGATGAACAAGCAGGGTGCAGGAGGACAACGGTGGGAAGGCCGAACCAGATCACACAAAGAAAGCAATCTGGAGACAACAGTGCAGCGATTAAAAGCAGAATGTGTCTCACTTTAGCTAAGAGGCCAATGAGCAATGATGGCCCAGTTACTCCCTTGGGCGGCTGGACAGTGCAGCGATTAAAAGCAGAGTGTGTCTCACTTTGGCTAAGAGGCCAATGAGCAACGATGGCCCAGTTACTCCCTTGGGCGGCTGGCCAATCCTGGGAAGATGGGTGGGGCCCAACAACACCACCACCACCAAGAAATGCAGCAAAACGGCATTTCTTCCCTCCTCCTTGGCGATGGTTTGGTGCAAACAAAGAATACCACTCACTTGTGATACATCGGCACCACGTCGCAGAACAGATGGAAGATGTTCCGGACGGAGTAGAAGAGCTGGATGCAGCTGGATGGGGAGACAGGGAGAGACATCGCCATGAGTCATGATTACCCCAAATGCCACAGCCCTGGCAGAAGCACCAGGTCACCAGAGGACACCACTGGACTTTGGAATGCAACCCTAGATGACTAGAAACTCAGATTTTCAGCAAGATTTTCTGGGTTCTTCCCCCCCTTGCAGTCCTGCTCCTCCATAAATGAGTGCTTACCCCTTACGATTTTGCTCTGTGTAAGTCAAGGGAGGCACAACGTCCGCTGTAGCTCCTTCAGCAGCAAGAAAACAGCATGTACTCAAAGGCCCCCTCCTCCCGAACTCCCACTTAGGGGAGAGCCCGCCGCCCTCCCTTTGAGCCCTCACCATTGATCTGTGCTGGCTGAAGCTTCCTGGAGCGTCTGGTAAGCCAACACCATTAACTTCTGGACGGAATCGCTGATGCGGCAGGCGGGAAATGAAAAAGTATGCCGGCTCAGCCTCGTCTCGTTCTCCAAACTGGGCACCTGTTTCTGAAGGGCATCCGGTGTGGCCAGAGCCTTTAACTGGTCACCGGCTCCAGGGTCTGGTAGTTTAGGCAGGGATACCGAGGAATCTGGAGTAACCTGTGAGAACCAAGGGAAGAGCAGCAGCGACGTAGTATTGGGCGCAGAAAGCAAAGTCTCTGCAAGAGCAAAGCACCAAACTGGGATTCGCACACGCTCCAACCAGTTTCAGAAATTCCAGGGGCCCAGCGGCTAAACAAATCAAAAAGTCATATGGCAGCTTAAAGATGGGAAATGTTTACACCTCAAGAGAACTGTCAGCCCTTACGGGACTCTGGTACCTTGATGGTGTTGGGAGGGCCGGACATCATGAGATTCCTCGCCACCACAATCACATCTTGGCATTTCTTGTTAGCAAAGTGGCAGTTGACGTTGCGGGCGTACGTCAGGAGGTCGGTGGAATCCTCTTTCAGGAACCGCATGTCCTTCAAGGCTTTTTCAAACTCCTCAGTAGCTTTAATAACCTGGAGATGTTTGGAGCGGGAGGGGGTAGCCACAGGTGAGCCGGGTACAGAGCTGTGTGGCTCTGGGGTGCATGTCTTGAACCCGTGCTCTCTGAACCCGTTAGGAGGCAAAAGCATGAACACCCACCAAGCACGACAACAGCTTCCAAACAAGCAAAAAGCCAAGTCAATTCGCTATGCTGTGTTCTTAATCCACTGGGGATATTTTAACAAAACGAAGCCCTCAAGTCTTTTTCCCCCCTTTTATTTCTTGGTCTCCCACTGCAAGAGAAAAGGAAGAGGCTGCTCCTGGAAGTTTATATTTTAAATCACATACAGCCCCTTTGCAGCATAACACAGAAACATTCACTGGTCTTTCAAAACCAGGACACTCCTGCTTTAATTCTTGGGGGGGAGGGCTTATGCAATTTTAATGGTCCAGGCAGCCACTAGAAAACTGTGCAGGCAGAAAACTGGCCCGTGGCCCCACAGAGAATGTTCTCCCCTCCTTCATACTGACAATTCAAGAAATCATTCTGAAAGCCTAGAGGGAAGGTTATGGCAATTGTACCAGCAGACGTCCCCTCCTACCCCCCAAACACACACACACACACACACATGTCCCCTCCTCCCCCCCAAACACACACACACGCACACAAACACACACACATTTCCTACTCCCCTGAACCGAAGGAAGCCAGGGCTCACCTCGATGTACTGTCCCAGTTTGCTGCTGTTGTTTGGGATTGAGTGGACCAAGCAATCGCGAATGAGACAGTCTGAGAGGTCCTTCCAGATCACGTCGCCCAACTCCTCTGCCAAGACCAGCCTAGTATTGTTCTCGTCCTCGACGCCAAGGTCAAGTGGAACATCTGGAATCCCCTGAACCAAAGGAAGCCAGGGCTCACCTCGATGTACTGTCCCAGTTTGCTGCTGTTGTTTGGGATTGAGTGGACCAAGCAATCGCGAATGAGACAGTCTGAGAGGTCCTTCCAGATCACGTCGCCCAACTCCTCTGCCAAGACCAGCCTAGTATTGTTCTCGTCCTCGACGCCAAGGTCAAGTGGAACATCTGGAAAAGATGGTCGGCGTTTAGGCGGCAAGAAGGCTCTGAGGCTGCCCGCTGACCTGGGAAGGTGCACCACTGACCCCAGGGTGGGAGGAGCTCGCCCTTCCAAAGGGCTGGCCCCAGCAGGTGGAAATGTGCGGAATTTCTCCCTGCTGGCTTCACAATACCTCTCTGTGCACAAGCTTCCATCAACATCCTCTGCAGTGGAAGACGATGCATTATTACAGCCCGCTCCTGCAGCTGTGCTTCCTCCCCGGGAGCAACTCACCTAATTGGTATTTGTGGAGACTCTCCAGCACCAGCTTGATCTTGGCAAAGACTTCTGCCGGGGGAGGATGCCCGAGGTCAGAACCGAGGGACTCAAACCTCAGCGTGATGGCGTCAGACTGCTCTTCCAGCAAGGGTCGCAGCGATGGATGCGAGATCAGGGGCTGGAGGATGTGCTTTAGCAGTAACTGTCCTGGCACAAGGAAGGAGGAAGCAGCAGGTGTCAGCAGAGCCTGAAGACGATCTGAGAGAAACCGGCTGAGAGCACAGCCTCCCAGGGAAAAGGGATGCCAAATCACATCCGTTTTGTGTCCAATCAAAGGGGAGCCTCCACTTCCTAACCTTTCTCTTTTCACCATCCTGTTTTCTTTGATTGAAAACACTGAGGCACTATACTGGGCCCCTCCAATCTTCTAAGGGATAAAGTAAAGCCCCTGCAGCACTGAGTTTCTATGCTGCCTCCCGCTTCTTCAGGATGTGACATCAGCCCAATTACAGACTCCTCCACCTATAAGTGCCAGCTATTCTAATGAGGAGACGCAAGGGTTATGGCTTGGGAAGTACAAGATCATTCCTGATGGGTAAGGAGTGAGGTGGCACCAAGAGGTAGCGTGAACTGAGTTCTCAGGCAGTTGCACTAAAGGAGACAGCACTTTGAACGTTCCACAGTGCAGACCTCTTAACTTCAGTACAGCAAAGCAAAGGAAAACCTAAGAGCCTGGCTCTTGTCGAAGGGCCAGCGTTTCATACCTTCAGAGGCAGAAGAAGAATCAAACGTTACATCTACGAACTTGGTGTTGGGATTAAACAGAACTTACCAAAGTGCCTGAATTTCAACCGGAGCTCACCCAAGACGGCAAACGCCTGCAGTACTGCTCCCACCGTTGGGCACGTGGCAGAGTCCTCCTTGGCCAGCACAGTGCGTAAATGCAGCTCCGTCTGCATGGCTGACTCCAGGCTGTCGAGTTCTAGGTTAGAAACAGCACACAGGAAAGCAGCTGCTCAGTCTAAAAACTCACTGAGAAGGTACGGCTTCAATTCCACTCACGAGGAATACTGCAAAAATTCATTTCAGGAAGGAGGCTACGGCTCAGTTGTAGAGCAAATACTTTGCTCTACAGACAGTCCCAAGTTCTAAACCAAGTTTCTGACTTTTAAAAAGGCACACATTCCTCCAGAGCTGCGGGCAATACCTTTGGCTGACCAAGGTCAAAACAGTTCTTACCCATTAGGACTGCACACATAACAAGCAAGCAGTGGATCCTATACCTTTTGACTGAGGAAGCTTCCACACAGCCATCTGCTCCCAATCCTGACCCAAAAGGTAGATAATGTTTTGGGTCTGTATGGTGAGCTCCCTGCTAAGCGCCTTCAAAATCTTCAGCTCAAAGCCTCGGCGGGATTCCATGATTTTTAAATTCCTCCGGGCCTAGCGGGCAAAGAGGGAAAGCAAGTTGCATCTAGCAATTAATGGCACACCAGGAAGCCAATGAATTCACTGTGAAGCAGTCACATGGAGTCCTGGAGGCATGGCAATTACCTTATTCAGGTGGCAGGCTGCCGGCACATATTTCTTCTGGGCTAACAAAGCATTGAACTGCTTAAGAGCAGCATCAAACTAAAAGGGGAGAAAAGGAACAATGGTTGATGAGAGATCTGAAAATGGAGTTGGTTAAGCAAAACAAAACAAAACAAGCACAGGAGGATGGAAGGCAGGGCTCATCTCTCACTTCCTGCAGCTGTTTCAACACAGTCAGGATCAGTGTGTCTCTCTCCAGCTGTTGTTTCAACTCTGCAAATTCTGCAATGGCGACATTAAGGTCATGTTGCACCTGAAAGAGAACCAAAGAAGATATCAAACTACACACTGCAAGCATTATTTAGTTGATTTTACACTATAAAATACCCACATTCCGTAGGTTTAACCTCAGAAGATCTCTTACTAAAGCCCATGGATGTTTCAAATCAGTTTTTTTTTTTAAATACTATTACTCTTATATGCATCATGAGCTGTTCTGTCCCTGGAACGAGGGATTAGGTGAAGTATGGGGCAGTCCTCAATTTGGCAGCAATGTTCAAATATTCGCACTTCAATGGGACATTTCTGCCGAGTATCCGGGCAGAAATGATTTCCTCTCTGTTTTGGCCAACCCAATTCGTGCAAAAGTCTCCAGATTTCCTGAAGCGTCCTCACCTCGTTTTCGATCCTGGCCTTCAGCTGGTCGATACTGCCGGCCAGCTCTTCCACCTGGGATTCCAAATCCTTGGCGCTCTGCACACTGGGCAGGAACTCCACATACCTCTGGTTGATCATGCTGCAAACCTCGTCCTGAAAAGACAGGAGGAAGAGCAACTAGGAACTCATCTCAAGCCTGGCAGTGGAGCCACAATCCAAGCAACGGGTTAAGTTCTTGCGAGCAGCTCCATTATTTACCCCAAGAAGGGAGCTCCAGAGTGCGAAGCAAGCCGCTAGGTGTGTAGCATAAAACAAGCCATCCCCGGAGATAACCGTACCAGGTGATTCACCTGACCCTGGAAGAATTTTACTCCAGCCCAGATCCTGGACAGCTCAGTGGTTTAAGGCTGTGAAGACAGAGGTTGGGAGTTCGATTCCTTCCATGGGGACTCCATGATCCAGAGGGTCCCTTCCATTTGGGAGTTTGATTCCTTCCACGGGGCCTCCTTCAGAGAAGCTTGGACTCCATGATCCAGAGGGTCCCTTCCAGCTCTGCAGTTCTAAGATGATGATGATGATGATGACCCTGCCTCACCTCTAGTCTGAGTGTGAGCAGAAACAACCCGCTGCTCCGGGATCGCTAAAGGATGTTCTTCCACAAGGCACCCCCTCCGCCCCACATACACACACTAAATTCCTCTTCTGTTGCACGAAGAGAAGAGCGGAAGTGGTAGCAAAGCAAAATAAATAAATAAATAAATAAAATCCCTTCGTGCCGAGAAACGTCTGGGGTGGGGGAAGGGCACTTCTTGGACGTTAGGCACTGCGCAAAGTCCTGGATTCCTGAGAACACTTTGGATGCTCCCCAGAAAGGGTCCTGGCCACTTCTTTTCTCTCCCGAGGCTAGCAAGCGGTCTGGGAGCGTCCTCGGCCGCCTTCTGCTCCCTCCTTATCTGCGAACACACGGCTCCTCAAGAGACTCCAAAACTTCGCCCTTCCACACACAGACACACACACCCCCATCACAAAATCCAAGGGGATTCAATTAACTGAGCGAGATCTGCTCCAAGCAGAGCCCAATGCCCAGCTGAGCATCCATGTTCCCCCCTGGCACTCTGCACGTCCCCAGAAACCCTCTTGCCAACCCTGCGCTCCAAAGCTCTCCAGCCCCAAAGTGTGTGTGTGTGTGTAAGAACCCTCTGCCCATGCTCAGAGGCAGCGTGCTTGCCTAAAACCTTCCCTGCAAGGCTGGGTCTTGCTCAGAGCGGCACTCCACCCATGCTCAGGAAACCCCTCGTGAAGCTCCAGGAAAGGGAGGAAGAGCGAGCCTTCGGTGGAAAGAAGTGGGAGAGGAGAAGAAGAATTTG